ATGTTGTTGATTGTTGTATTGCACTTCATCAAGGATCGAAGTAGAAGAGTGCACTATAGACCCTGATTGTTTTATTTAGGGTCTCCTGCATTATTGCTTTTCCTAACTAATCTTTTTGAAAATTTTTTGCAATAACCATGCTTTTTTCAAAAGTTTTTTGAGAAGCTTAATTAAACCCAACTAGATATCACAGATAATATGTTGGCCTGGGACCAATTGTATCATGTTTATGGGACCAATCCATGTTCCAGCCCACGAATAAGTTTCTTTTTCTATTAGATCTGCCAATTGGCTTCAATTGCAGAAAAATATCATCTGATATATCTGCTGCCCAAAGTTTATAACTAAATCTCATGGGCTAGCCACGTATATGTCATAGCATAAGGTGGCCATGTTGACCACAGTTGACATTCTTCTCTGTCGATAGTTATTTTCACATTTGGTGATGCTGTTGCTACAATGACTATTCTTGATAGGTGAGCAAAATTGCTAGTGGCTGCATCATCTGAGTTATCTGAATCTCAGTCTGTTTTGTTTGTTGCTGCTTCTGTGAAACGTTCCATAGCAAATATTTGTTCTTCCTGCTATTCTTCTCTCGAAATCTCAATTATTTTATGTGGTGATCTGCCAAAAATATAATTAGAAAAAAAGTGACTTGGGATGAAAAATCGTATAGTGTTCAATGTACCTACTTCCTAATATTTAAACTTTTGGGTTATATACTCCTAACAGCTCTAAAGATAATTGTTCACTAATAAATAACAGAAAAACTGTAGATCTAAGATCTAAATAAATAATTTCTAAATACAAAATAAATTTGAAATACAATGCGCAACTATATCACAAAGTAATCAACTGGGAAAATGAGATAACCGGAATGCTTACACTACTGCCGAGCGGTTCCATTTGGAACCAGGCAAAATATTTCATGATCTAAATGACTTTAGAAACATTGTATCACGTAATACCATATACAGAATTAAAAGTACTCTCTTTATCGATGAAATTCTGCATCTAACTTATAAATAATATATTTTTAGAAAGAACTACTTACTATTTTCTGCAATGATGTCAAGCCCTCCTGCCTGACACCAGTTACTTACAATCTTTGAATGTTGACTGAGCAGGGAGAGATCGGCACAGCATAACCAAACATTGCCAGAACATGTAAAAGATGTGTATCAAACCTACGCATCCACTAGTATACTGATTTGACCATACAATTTTATTATGAATCAATTTTTTTCCGCTGGTTCCAAATTGAACCGCTCGGCATTAGTGGGTTAATGTTCTTGCTCTTGCAATCCAAGCAGAATTTTGAATATTTTCTCCATGCCCAGGACTAGCATGATCAAAACTATTTTCTTTTTATTTCAGGAGGGACTTTTACAAAATCCTTGGGGTGTCAAAAAGTGCCTCTCTTCATGAGATCAAGAAAGCTTACAGGAAAAATGCCAAAGAACTGCACCCGGACAAGAACAGAGATGACCCGTCAGCTGATGCAAAGTTTAAAGATCTTGGTGCTGCATACGAGGTCCTCAGTGATGAAGAGAAAAGAAAGAAATATGATAGGTAAGATTTATTGCACACCTTATTTAATGTTAAATGTGTAGACCTTAATTCAATTATCATCAACATGGTGATTTGATTATTTAGTAATCTTATTGTACACTTTGTTTTTCTAGATACGTTGAGGAAAAGTTTGCAATACTGAACAAATTTGCCTGTTGAAGCAGCGTCACTTATTAGATGCTATAACCCATAAACCAGATGTCTGATAAAACCAGACATCTTCCTTATACCGGTCGAATTATACCAGTCTTCATTATTAAATGCTATGACAAATACATGCTGTGCCTTCATGTTGCCAGGTGTGGTGAAGAATGTGTGACAAAAGACGAGAGTGGTGGTTTTGGCATGGATCCATTCTCGAGCTTCTTTGGAGATTTTGGATTTGGCTTCCATTCTGGTGGTAGAACCGAGAGGGAAGTAGCTAAAGGAGGAGATGTTGTCATGAATCTTGAAGCCACTCTGGAAGAGCTTTATGTGGGAAACTTTGTTGAGGTGAGTTTACTTGCCAATTCTCATGGCAATAGAGAAACTGAGGCCCATGGTGTTGCACGAGTGATCTTGTGATATAAATTTTTGCATATTTTTGTATCCAAATTTATTAATTATTAATTTATATCGAGAACTTTAACTGAATATGTGATTATTATGTGTTTAATCTAGGTTTTAGCTTGATAGCTGAAGTGCTAGTAAACCATACTACTACTTACTTACTTACTTAATCTAGATTTAATTAAAGCTGTGTTTGATTTTGATTCTGTTAACTT